ATTGCATTAGAGGATGCTTGAAGATAGCATAAAATATATATATATATATATATATATATTTGCAGCCACAGGGGGGTTCTTATCTCATCCAGAAACTCCCCAGCAGTACACCAGATGAAAAATCACTTCTGGGTTTCACCCTTTCTTTTAGGAGGGGGAAGTTTATGAGGTTTTTCTGTCTTTACTCAGCCTCTTGGAGCTAACTGGGTGATGTGCTGGTACCGGCGAGAGCAAATTCAAAGGCACAGCCTTTGAGAATGGAAAGGGGGAGATGTGTCCAAGTCCTTTGGGCCCGTGTGGTTTCGTCCTGCTCTCACAGGTAGGTCCTGAACACACAAAACCAGTTTTGGTAAGTGATGCCAGAACGTGACCGGACAGAATCACGGCCCCAGATCTGGCTGATCTTCTTGATATCGGGCTACAAAGTTCAGATTTGGGGCCAAGAGGTTGAGAAGAAGAGGGAATAAAAACAAGTTGTTGTCATTGTTTTCCCCACAGTGTATGGAAAGGATGATGGCCCGTTAGAAGACACTACATTTCCCTCCCAGGAAAGAGAAGCTGAAGGACAGACGTGTGTGTGGTTACATGTCAAGCACTGCGACTCCTTTTTGACTTCACATTCTTTCCCCTTCGTTCTAATTAACATGTTGAGAAACTTTAAAATGTAATAAACATTATTTCTAAACAACCAGAAGGGAAAGCTTGCTTATTTTCGGTTTGATGTAAACATTTATAGCACAGCTCCATCCTTAAACAGTTAATCTTATAGAGACCTATTAAAATAAAATGAATTGTGTTATAATTCATCCTAAAGCAACCTCGGGGTTAGTGTATCAGGTAACTCCTGCTTTTGCAGTGCTCGTGACGTTTTTAATCAAATTCAGCTGTAATTGCTCCAGCATACACATGCCTCTTTTAATACCCTGCCTACATTTGGGACTCATATGAGTCTGTTTTCTCTTAACATATCTAATAAATAGAAAACATGAAAAGAGCACATTTTGCAGGACTCTGAGCTTTTCCCCCCCGTTTCATTTGCTCTAGCAATGGTCCAAGGGGCTTATGAGAAGCGAGCACTTGTCAGGTCCCCCCACCTTGGCCTGGATAAAATTCCTTATGGCTTTTAAGTCCCTGTTTGTGTTGCTAGCACCCCGTTAAAGGGGTACGGGCCCAGCAGCGCGCTGGAAATGTGTGTGTGTGTGAGAAGGAGGGTTTCAGAGGCACCTTTAAAAAACCACCGCCTGCGATGGGTGCTGAAACGTCGCCTACACCGCAGTCACCTACGGGGTGTTGAGCAGAACATGAAATGTCAGGTCCTCCATGGAGCCACTCGCATAAACAAAACAAAACTCCTGTAACTTTCCCTGCTCAGGGCCAGGGGGGCGGCTTTTTTGCCTCGTCTTCAACAGCTGCTTCCAATTTGCCAGCAATTTTCTTCTGGGCTAGTAAAGCTCCCGAGATGACTGCAAGTGGCCACATGGGCTTCGCCACTCCACGGTGGGGTTTCGTTATAAGAAACCCGCATCCAAGGGGAGGCGTTTGCCCCACGCTTCCAAGCACTTAAACCCCGGCTTTTTTTGTTAACACCAGCCTTTAAAGTTTATTCCAGTGCAACTTATTAGGTGTGGGCGCGCTGGGGTCCCCTGTTATATCCCTGTTGGAAGTAGGCTGAAATTTGGGGCACCTTCCTATCCATATATATATTATATTTTTAATAGGGGTAAGTGATGGGGAAATGCACAGCAAGGGACGCGCATTCTGCTGGCAGAACCCAGCAAAATAGGAAAAAGCTCTTCCTAACAAAAACAGTTCCCCTTCGACTACGTGTTCTGCGTAATTCACACGGGGAAACGTGAGAAAAGGATGAAAAATGACTTTGAAACGCGATCTGCTGCCGTCGCCGGGCTCCGGGCGTGCGGGCAGGAGGCGTCGCCATCCCCACCGAATAATGCGATTAGGGCTTGGAAACAGCGGCTCTAACGGGGCTGCGTGCGATTTTTACAGCCCTTTAAAGAGGAAAATGACGGATTTTTACTAATTTTTACTTCCCCGAGCGGTATTTTCGAGGGCCGCTCCCCCGAGCCCCTCGCAAGCCCCTGTTGTCATTTGAGCTCTCTTTTTCCCCTCGATTTCTTTTCCTTTCTGCCCAAGATCTTCCCCCGACTATCCCTGCCGCTTACCTGCTCCAGCAACCTCTCCCTTCCCACCCAAACCAACAATAATAACGAGGAATCCCAAGAATTTCTATATTAAAAAAAGAAAAAAAGAGGGGGGGCCGGTCTGGCGAGGTCCCTGGTCACTCGGTCCAGGGCTGAGTGTGTTTTCCTTGGAAATTGGGAGGAATGCTAAACGCCTCGGCTGCCCGCGAGTGAATTGTGCTCGGAGCTCTAGGCACGGCTCCCAGGTTGCCCTTTCACCCCTTCACTTTATATGTTCCTCTTATTAAGGAGAAAAATGTTTCAATATGTTGGAATTCGGGGCAAAGCCGGGGAAGGGAGACGCGGAATGGCGAGTGGAAGGACATTTTCCGAATAGTTCTGGTAACCCTCGGAGGGCTACGTTTACAAAGCGGGTTTTACCAAAAAACGTTGCTTTCCCCAGGTTAGCGCGAAAGCAAATGCCTACTAACCCTTCTGAAATAGCAATGTGCGCTGGAAATGCGATCCAGAAATGTGAATTTGGAAAAAAAAATCCCTGGATTTAAGATGTTTTTTTCTCCCCCTCCCTACGAGTGTTGCTGTCGGGTAGGGTGTTATTAAATAGGCGAAGGGATCGGGAGGTTTTGGGTCCGAGGGGGAATAGTTTGGAGATGGTTTCATCTCGCTCCTCGAGAGCGCCGGGGAATATTTGCAGTCGGGGGGGCAACGGGTTAACTGTTTTCAAGGTAAAAAAAAAAAAAAAATCAGAAAAAAAAAAAAAAAAAAAAAAGCCCAAAGAAGTAAGGAATGATGATTTTAAAACGGATATTTGAAACTTCCTTAGTTAAAAAGGGGGGTTTAAAGTAGCACTTGAGCTCCACTCAGCGTCTCTTTTCGGCTTCACTCCTCCACGGGACTTTTTTTTTTTTTTTTTTTTTTTTGGTAAGAAAGTTACGACTTTTGTTGTTGTGGCTGCTCTGGAAAGTCGCGGGCAGCCCTGAGCCCCCCGCGGGGCGAACTATTGATAAGGAGGGAGCGGGAATCCCATGAAAAGCGGAGGACGCGGGAGCGGGGGAAGGCAGAGCCCGTCCCGGAGGAAGGAGGCGCCCGCCCGGGCTGGGAATTGCAGCTTAAGCTCCGCTTTGGACCCAACAAGTCGAGTCTCTCCCTCGCAAAACCGCAGGGCAGCGACCCAGAGCGGGCGGGGAGCTTGATTTGGATTTGGATTTTTCATTTGGCGCTCAATCTGGATCGCTACAAACCGGCCCGCCGCGGGTTGAGGGGAAAGGGTATAAAAGGTGAGTCATTTAAAACGATGGCAACGGCCGTAAGGATAAGAGGTGCAGCGAAAAGCGGATTAAGAGGCCCTTTAATGTCTCGACAGGGCGATATGACGGATAAATAACCCACAGCAGGCGTTTTAAGGCTGACTCCACGTATGCAGATGTCTTTATTTATAAGAACATGTGTAATTATAGGGAGAGGGGAGCGGAGCGGGGGCAATCGGGGGCAAAGCGGGGAGCAGAGGGAAGTGCTCCGTGAATCCTTGACCCTATAGAAAATTTACAGGCTAAGGAAAATTGCCCTGGCCCTCTAGAGCGGCCGCCCCCACCCCCCGTCGCAAGTTCAGGAGCGAGGGAAACTGGAATGCGTTAGGAGCGAGGAATCCAGGGAAAGGGAAAAGCGCGCTTATCAGAAACACATTGCCCGCTTTATAAGCGGCTGCCCGCCCGTGCCAGCTGGCCGCCGAATAAATGCTCGAAAAAATCCATAAAAATGGGTGTTCACGTGCAGCTAGAGAATGGGATTTTATATTCCAGAGTTGTCTTTTTTTTTTTCCCTCCTTTTTTTTCCCCTCTGTATTTTATTTATTTATTTATTTATAGCCAAGGATATCGCCCGCGCTTAAGCATCGCACCCTGCTCTTTATGCCTCCCGCTTGGGAATACGAATTCCAAGCGGGAATTTCTTCCCGCTCCAGGCTCTGGCTGAAACGCTGGCTCTTGCCTCGGGAAAACGGGAGCGCCGGCATGGTTGCGCTTCCCAAAACGGGGCTCGCGCCTCTTAACGAGGGACTAATTACTAATTACATCGCTTTCCGAGAGGCTAAAGATCCTGGAAAAAGCAGATCGGGGAAAAATATAGAGAGAGATGTGGGATATTTTAGATATTTTAGCGACTGCCCGTTTCTTTCGCGAATGCAAAATAAAGCACCACTCTATTTGGCAAAGTTAGGGCACTATCCCAAATAGAAAGGCTGAGATTGGCAACGCTGGGGGAGTTTCTTGCTATTTGGAATTATATTTCTGTTGGCTATTTGCGTTATTATTGTTTAATTATTCTTGATGGGGGGGAAAAAAAGGAGGTTTTTTGTATCAAGAAGGGCCAGAATGGCTCGGGATGGTTCCAAGGAGTCACCAAAGGCAACTGCCCTTCGTTTAGCCAGGTGAACCCCTCAGATACAAGTCAATGGGGTTAACTAGTCTCGACATGAAAACAGGAGTGTTTCTGCTGCCTTTTAATTGTTGGCTAAGAAATTCAGTTAATCATAGGTCAAACATTTCCTTCGGCTCCGCTCAAAAGGGAAGGAGGCTCTTTCCTGGGAGGGGAACCCCCAAAACAACAACAACAAAAGTTGTAAAATATAGGGAAAAAAATCCTAATTATGAAGTCCTGACACTTCACATTTAGTTGTTGTGGTGGATGGTTTTCTATATAATTTCTTTAAAGTGTACACTCAAATGTTTGATCACTTCTCATTAAACTTTGTCAGTAACATTTTTAAACAGTCATATGTATTTTTTGTAATTTTTTCATTCTTGGGTATATACACTTATGATTTCCTTTAATTTCAGGTCAATCTTAGGACCTTTTAAAGATACAAATTAAACAAGCAAGGATGTTCCAGACTGTTCCAGACACTTCGTCTTACGTCAAGGTAAGACATGACAGCATCTTTAAACAGGTAATGTCCACAATTACAATCCTCCCAAATTCACAGTCTTCACTGAAAATCTTGGTCCCATTCTCACTGAAAACAAGCAGAAAAATGTCATGTAGTTTCATGGGAAGCTGGGCTAAAGCCTGAAATATCTCCCTGATAGTTCTGGGCTGAATCAAAAGTTGAATCCCCAGGGACAAGCAGTGTGTTAAAGTGCCCTTGGTTTTTGTAGAACATTGGTGCTTGGTTTGCTAGATTATACTATAAGTAATATTATAGTGAGAGTGTCCTGACTTACATTATAGAAGTGGTTTGTTAGGCTGAAACCAATATGATAGTGGTGGTGTGCTACCAGCATTATATCATAGTGGTTTCCTAAATTGGTTTCCAATTTTCTGATTTCCTAGATACCGTTTAGCCTTAAACCAAGGCAAAATTTCATTTAATATCCCCCTAGCTCTCTGCTGAAGCAGCCACTGAATTCAATATCCAAGATGTTGGATATAGTTCTGCTTTCGACAGGTACATTTCATAGCAGATTTCAAGGCAGAAAAAAAATATATAGTGAATTAAACCAAACCATCTCTTTCTGTTGTCAAATAAATGAATTGTCACGTGAGGTAATGGTATATAATAGTGGGATTTGTGTTATTTAGGACTTGAACAATTCTTCCACGCAATTCAAGCAGCTAAACTGATTTTTATAAGCTTTTCTGGTAATGGGTAACACCGGCTACTACTAGATCTTGTACTCTCATAGTTGGTGGTGCATCCTTTGATTACACAGAAAAAGTATCTCTTGGAATATATTTCAATGGGCTACTTCCGCATCCTTTTTTTCCAGAAGATTAAAACAAATTCTGAGAAGGGCTGGCCCAGTCCTGTCCCTTTATAGCGCACTGGAGTACTATATTATATTTGACATCATGTAGTTTTTTTCTTTTCCACAACAGTTCCCAAGAATGTAAATAAACCAAGCCTGAGACATCTGGGTTACACGTTTAAGGCAAACTCTGCATGCAACAGCACTTAGGGAAAATCTAAAACACAAGTCTCTCCTCTCCCAGGCTGAAGAAACACAGAAGGGTGTTAACTAGACTGGGGGGATAATTTGTAAGGAATAATTTATTACAGGAATCTTGCCTCTTTTTTCCCCTCACTCGATGATCCACGAGCCGACTGTGCTATCCATGTTACATGCACATTATTGGGAATGATTCGGTGAATAATTCGTGCGTATAATCCCTAGGCCAGAACTCATTTTGCAGATGATTAGGTTGGAGTTTTAGTGTTTGAAATGTGCTTCGTGCGATGAATGCAGGTCATGTGGCTTTATTTGTATTCCCTGATTTGGTGAGCTAGCAGCTCTCTGGACCTTTTTTTTGAGTAAATTCTACTGGAATTTTGAGTAAATTCAGTGTGTCAGTGAATGCTGCTGATTAGCTTTTGCAGCAAAATTTTTGAAACTCTTTGAAACTGAAACTTTTGAAATTAAGTGGCAGCACGTTCCAGGCCTAAATAATATAACATTCACGAAGAGATGGAATAAGTCAAGCCCTAACAGCGTCAAAACGGCCTTCTTGTTAAGCAGGATCCTACAGGCAAGGTGCTTGGGGAAAGTTTTCTTCACATAAACGTGTGTTTTATCCCCCAGGAAGGACTTCCAAGGCTGGGCTTATACCCAGCGTTTCAGTGGCGGGGAGATAAGCGAGCTGTGCGATGCCGACCGCTCTGCCTTTTATTACCACCCTTCACCCTCAGCTGCCATTATTTGGGGCAAGAACTTGGCCTTCTGGTGTTTTGCCTGTAAAGTCTCATTCACACCAATGTCATTGGGGAAAGGGCTTGTTCCTGTGCTTAAAAACAAAGGGAAAAAAATGGATTTTGACAGAATCCTCTTAGGAATTGGTCCAAAATCCTTTGCAGACAAAGAAAATATCTCCCAAAGGCTTTCAGAAACTTGGATACTGCTCCAAAGTGTGCCAGGGTGGACGTGGTCCTGGTTTAGATAGTTCCTGCCTTCTCTTGCCTGCTCCCCGCGTTGCTCCCGGAGGAGGAAGGTGAAAAAGCAGCAGGGTCCGAGTCCCAGGCTCAGAAGGGGTCAAATTTGTTCCTGGGGGGACAAATTTGCAGCAGAAAACGGTGCGAGTGAGACCTCCAGACCCCCCTCACCTTTCTGCTCGGGACAACGCGCGTAAGGGGCTGAGAGGTTAGGGAAGGAGGAAGAGGAGGAGGCTTCGCCTTTTCCAATAGATGCTTTGAACGGGAATCCTTTGCATTGAGCCACGTTCAGCCCCCCGCTCCTTGCTTTGCAGCACCCTCACCCTCCATACGTAGAGCACGTATATAACGGGCCCCTATAGAAGGGCCTGACAGCCTCGCTCCCTCTCCACTCATACACGCTGCTCCTATGGGCCTTAGCACAACAGAGCGGGAGGAAAGCACAATTGCTGCAAATTAATCGCCCTCCTTTATTTCACGCGGTTAACAACGTGTTTGAAGCGTTTGAACCATCGCTGAGGCGCGAGCGCTCAATAATTCGCGGTCTATCAGAGGGCGCTAATCTCATCTCAACGCGAGTATTGGACCGGAGAGCGAAAGATGGAGTATAATTGGGAAATTAAATTTTAAAAGACAGCCCTGGGATCCTACCTGTCGGGATATGGGAAGCATTAGGGCCCTAAGCAAAGCAGCGGGAGCTCGAAATCCTGGATATTGAAGCGTGTGGTTTGGTCAGGGCTTTGAACGGGTGGACTCGACTCCTCCAGGAGACGGGAGGAAGGAACCCCCTGTGCAAGCGCCGTTTTCGCCTTAAAAAAAATGGATTTCATGCAGCCCTAATGTTTGTGGGCCGGTACAAAGAGGGATATTCATGGAGGCGAAAGAGCCTGGGTGGCTGGAAACAATATTTGGGTTGTTCTTGCGCTTTCCCTCGGCCGGGAAAGTTTACAGAAGCCCTAAAGAGGGAATTTATTTTTGAGGAACAAACCAGGGAGAGTTTCCCCGCGCAGGGAAGGCTCCAGGAGCCCCCGACACGGACACGTTCCCTTTGCCGCTCAGCAGCTTGCAAGGAAAGAGTATTCCACTATTTTAGGTTCTTTTTAGGGATTTTGGGGCAGAAAATCCGCAATGCGGGTCATCATGCCGGGGGAATCACGGCCGAGGGCTGCGGAGCATCCTGCAGGTGTGCGGGGACACGGGCTCACACGACGCTTTGCCCATTTCTGCCCCTTTTTTTGGGGCAATTATCGTCTTCCAGCAGAGTTTCGGCTCCTCGTCCCAGAGGCTCCAAGGAAGCCGGGAATCGTAGCGGTTTTGCCGGTATTTTAGCCCAATCCTTGCCCAGGAACACGAAGACGTGGGGCAGAAAAAAAAAAAAAAAAAAAAAAAAAAAAAAGGAAGAAGAAAGTGAGGCGGAAAAAATGCTTTATTTTTTTCCTGCAAATCTCCAAATAGATGGAGTCTGAGGAGCAAATTCAGAGCAGCAGAGAAGTCCGGGCGAAATCGGCCGTTCCACTGAAGCGCATCAAGGGGCTCCTCGGTCGTGTTTGGCTAAGGTCAGACGAGACTGGCTTCTCCAATAAAAATAAATCCCAAATTAATTATGGCCTCGAGCGAGGGGCCAGACGTTTGGAGCGAGTGCGCTGCAGTCTGGCTGAGTTTGTGACTTTTTTTTTTCCTTTCCTTTTTTTTTTTTTTTTCTGTTTTTGTGCTTGGCTTTTCCAAGAATTCCAGAATTCCGGAATTGCGGGCTGGAGGAGGGCTCTTTTCCTGGGACGTGGGGGGAAAAGCTCCCCCCATTACCCACTCTGCAGCACCCGGGCTCCTTGCGTCTCCTCCGCTTCCAAAGCACGGGATTTTCCCCGGCGTTCACCGTTAGCGAGGATCTTTCTGGCTCCCGCTTCCCGATCCCCTGAGCTGTTCCCAGGGGAGCCCCGATCCCGCGGGAAAACTCAGCCCCTTCCCGCTTTGGCTGAAAAGCGCGGCTTTTACCCCGTTAGCTCAGGCTAAACCGGAGTCCCTTCTGGGGAGCAAGTCCCAAAGCGCATCCCGGGTGTTTTTCCACGGAGGCTCCCGTTCCTGGGAGCTCGGAGGCGGCGCGACGTGCGGTGACGGGCGCCGCGCGCCTCCGACCAAAGGGTTACATGGAAAAAAAAAAAAAAAAAGAAAGAAAAACGGGAAAATGACGGAGCGGGATTCGGAGCGCAGCGGCGGGGGGCGGTGAGGAGAGCGAAGGGTTAACGCTGATTTCTTTTAATTGCAGCCCCAGTGGCCCTCGGCAAAGGGGGGGTGACCCCGCCAGCAGCTCCAGATGTGCAGCCCCCCGGGGAGCACAGAGCACAGGGGGGGGGGGAGGCCGGAGCCCCTCCCCGTGGCCGCGGGGGCTGCGCGCACCAAACCCCACAAATTGGGGCCGAATTGATGGGGCTAATTGCGAGGGAGGGAAGAGGAGGGGCGACGGGGGGGTGGAGGGGGGCTCCAGCTCCCCCCATCCTCCCCATCCCGCTCCTCCAGCCTCGCTCTTGGCGAAATAAAGCAGGAATCAGGCACCGACCGGGAAACGCGGGCGGCGTTCGTGTAGTGCCCGTCGCGAGGGGCGGGGGCGCGGGAATTTGGATATAATTTTGATTATTTCTCCCCTCCCCGTGGTTGGACTAAAAGGCCAAAAAGGCTGGACACATCTGGCGCAGGACAAGGTAACCCCTCCCCCCCCCCGAGATCTGTCCCCCCCAAGGGGGTCCTCCTGCTCTGACACTTTCGGCTTCATCGTATTTATATTGCAACCTCCGCTCTTATATATATATATATATATATATATATATAATATATATGTGTATATATATATATGTATTCCCTGGGACCGCAGTAATTTGCGGGAAAAAAAAAAAGAAGAAAAAAAGCTCAAGGGGTTAAACGCATTAGCTGGACAGACAGGGAAAGAAAAAAGAGGGGGAAAATAGGGGGAAAATGACGGAAATCGCGTTTCTTTGCTAGTG